TTTTTTTTTTTTTTTTTTTTTTTTTTTTTTTTTTTGGAGGGCTGTAGTTTTCTGCTCATTTAGTCAGATTTAGGTGAATCAGCTCATGGTAAGTGTCAGATGAGTTCCTGAGCCAAGGGAAGAAGATGAAGGAAGGAATACACTGATGATAAACAAGCAGAAGAAAGAAGTAGCAAGTGATACTCTGGAGGTTGTGAGCTCCTGCTCTGGTTCAGACATAATGCAAGATTTAATACCAAAGATGAACATCTATTTACCTGTGCAGGAAAACATCTGAGATTTTTTTTTGTTTCCTACAATTTGTTATAAGCCCTAGTTCAATCTCTTCTTCCTATGGTCCCTAAGGATGTGTGTTATTTTTTATTTGTCCTGAAATAGAAAGGTTTTCTGGAATTTTAAATTAGATAACAATAAACCTCACAACTGTTATCATGAAGAAGGCCCCTAACCTGAGAAAATATCTCAAAGCAAATTCTTACCAACTGCCTGTGGCTTCTGTCCTGTTTATTAGTATAAATTAAAGCTTCTTTACAGAGATTTGGATCTCATGTCAATTATTCACAGCAAAGATTGAAATTTTGATTATCAATATCTCAAATCACTTTTTTTTTTCCCTCTCAACAAGCAGGGACCATGTCTTTAATTAATGCCAGTGAAGTTCCACTTCATAAAGCAATATAAATTTTGGTTAAGACACCATCACCTCTGCCCACTTAGGGAACATAAAGGAGGAAGAGAAATAAAAAAGGCAGAATTGAGAATTAAGACCCAAAGTTCAGATCAAGGCACTACCTCCAAACTATCACAAAACTAGTTTTAATAAATTTCAGAGATACTTCAGGCACAAAGCAAGTATTTCCCTTTGGACTCTATGCTCAGTGCATCTCAGAGCTGCTCTAGAAGAAAAGCTTTACATAATGAGTTGTCATGGTTTAACCCCAGCTGGCAGCTAAGCAGCATGGAGCTGCTCACTCACTTCCCCACCAGTGGGAAATCAAACAACTGACTGTTCTGATTCTGAACTAAAATTGAATTTTAAAAGAAGTTTAGCTAATTAAGAATCTCTACAGAATGTCACAGTCAAATGAAAAGAGATCTGTATCAGAAATTATTTTGAAAAAGTTAACTTGCACCTAGATCCATAGTTATATTATTTTTTGTATCTGCACTAATCAGAGGCTAGCCTGAAAAAAAACTGGATTTTTTGATACAATAGTGGCCATGACTATATAAGGAATCAAACTGTTATTATTTTTAATTGGGCTTTATAAAATATGAGCACAATGGTAACAAATCATAAGTCAATCATAGAAGAGAATAAATAGAACTTTTCTCTGTTATCCTACAGTCTTAAATTAGTTCAAAATCTTCTCTCACATTCTGTTTATTCAGGACAAAATTTTGCTCTTTCCTTCCCTCCATCTTTTTTATTCTGGGATCCATCATATCTACATAATTTCTTGAGCAGTTATGGATTTTGCAGCTCAGTCTCTACAAATAACAGAAATACTTTACTTTCAGAGACACATAATAAGCTGAAGTTGGAAGCCTGTGGCAAATTTAGTTGGTTTTGGTTAATGAAAATTTATAGCTTTCACTGTGAAACATTTTCTCTACAACCAGACATAAAAGTAACTTTAACTGGAAGCACTCCAATTCAGCAGCAGCACATTACAATAATTTTTTTAAAACAGTAGCTTTAAATATATATCTACTTACCCAAACCACATTAGCTCTGGTTGTGCCAGGCATGATACATGCATTTAGTAATACAATGAGAAGTCCCTGCTCCAGACAGCCTGCAGCCTACATAGAGAAAATTAAGGAAGATAGTGACCATTCTGTAAAAAGACTACTAAGGCAAAGTTTGGAATCATAAACAATGTGTCACAACATAAAAAAACTACCCAAGACCTGGGAATAGACCAAATATCTAAGTTTCCCTGAAGTGTCTCAGCCATTAAGCTTTTCTTTATGAGTAAAAAGCAGCATCACTTAATAGTAAACTGCAAAGTTTTTTATCAAGCAGTTTTTCTCTTACATATAAATATAACATTTTCTCCAAAAAATCAAAACCATGCAACTCCTCAATGACTTTTCAATTTACAACTAAAATACAACAAATGGGACTGCCTTTAAATCCCATTTACTCCTCTTCTTCCACAGCATCCCCAGATTTTCTCCTTTACCTGAAAGTGGTGGTGTATTTTTAAGAAACAAAACACCAATAGTAACACTGAGGTCCTGGGAGGGGATGCCTGACTGGCAAAAATCATAATTGGAATTTTTGGAGATGCACCTGAAAATTCAGCCTGTTGTGAGAGTTCCAAGACAGCAGTGGTTACCCACCAATATAATACAATGGAAGGAAAGATCTTTTCCTTCTGTATTTACAGACTCATATGGCAACCCTGACACAGGTAAGGACCAAAGCAGGGCCTCAGGATTATGTGACAGTGCCTTGGGTGGCATCACCCCCAGCCATTATAAAGCATTGACTCAGGGGAATCAATACCAACATTTCCTGGCAGTACTGGATACTGCACTGGGAGCTTATGAATTCTGACAAGATCAAGCCTGAAGTGATAATTGGCAGAGAATGATGGGATTTTTTTATTGCTCTTATTGTACTTAAAAAACAAACATGTTTGGTTTATGTTTATTAGAAAAACAACAAAACTCTTCAACTTAAGCCTTTATACTACATTTGAGCTTCACATTTTTTCTTCCTCACTTCACTCAATAGAGCCATTTTCACATGAGGGTTTGAGGGTTTTTTTGCTTTTTAAAAGAGGTCCTGAAAAATTTGCTACAGTTACTAATACTAACACCATTGCTATTTCTAGTAGTAATAGTTACTAATACTAAGACAATTTCCAACAGCAGTCAGGGCAATGTGTAAAATCTTCTGAAATTATTAGACCAAAGAAGAAAAGGAAAGATGGCAAGACACTGTATCTTAACAGTGGGATGCCAATTACCACTCTGTTAACAAAACACAGCTATCTACCAGAGGTGTCTTTGCCTCCCCACTTGCACAAAGTGGCAATTCAATTAGAGGTCTCTTTCTTTCACACTGCTAGAAAATTTAAACAAGTTCCACCTAAAAAAATTAACCATCTCCACTTCATTTCATTGAAGCCATTATTACACTTTTTTATTGCCACCCAAGTTATTATAAATTATGGCTTTTTCACAATTCTGTAACTTTCATCTTTGTGTGCTTTTAAGGTTCACCCCTAAGAAGGAGATCTGCTGTAGAAAAAGGAACTCTCTTGATTATGTGAGATAGTTTAAAGAGATCTATATTATATCAGGTGAGGTGTCAACAGAAATTTGCCATGGTATGCACTTCTAACAATGAACCTGTAGCACACTAAATGCATTTGACGTTATTAGACCCTTCTTTTTTTCTTTTTCTAGCTGAAAATTATGTCATGATTCCTTGGTTGCTCTGTTTCTTAGTATTTGAGGAAGTTACATCTGCCTATATGACAGTATCATCAGCATTCAAGGTGAATGTGTGAGTCAGGAACAATATAAACTGAGGATCTAAATAGAAAAAAATTAAAGAATAATAATTTAGTGGTTTCTGGGGAGGTTGTACTGGTGCATGTACAAGCCTTCAGTCTATACCCACATCTTGTTTTCCCTATATTCTCTTTATCTAAAGATGGCTCAGATGGCTAAAGATGGCTTCAGATACAACCCCTAATCAACAACAAAGTCCCTGATCCATTGGTTACTTGAAGCTTTTGGGATTTACCAAAGCAATGATTCCTCTTTCTATTTCTGGTCCTTTTTTTCCCCTATGCTGGTATGATGCTAGGAGTCCCCATGACTGAGAAAAGATGGAAAAAAGGATATTTAAGATAAAACATTCCAGTAGTAACTCTGTCATCCATTTTGCTGATCTGCCACGTGGTGTCTCTGCCCTGTGAAGAACACAGGAGAGGCAGAAAACTGGGGGTTGAACAGGACATCCATATAGGAAATTATTCTTCCAATACACAGTTTGGAAAATATGAGCATTCTCAGTGCATTAAGTCAGCAGAACAATTATTCACTTTTGTTGTATTAGTTTTCTGTCAACTCAGTGCACTGGAATGGCTCAGCAAGGCAATGGCCAAGGGAGCTGAGGACAGGGTTTGGCCAGAGGCAAGAGGTGACAAGAAGGCAGATGGCCTTGGGGTGCTACAGAGCCCCAGCCTGCATTTCCTGCTGCTTTCACCTGCCACTGGCCTGTCAGGAGCTCAGATGGGGAGCAGGGCTATGCAAGGAAACGGGAACACACAGCTGCAGGAAAAGGAGAACAGCAGCACTCCAGTGGCCCTTTAAACTAGTTTAAACCACTAGGCTAGAGCCCTGCATTTTTCAGTTCTGTTTCCAAAGGTCACATGCTTACATATGATTAATTCCCTCAGATGGATCAGTGAAGATATTTCAAAGGATTTCTGGTCAGAGATCACTAAGCGATCTCACTGTTAACATCTAACCTGCCTACTCTAGCTTCCATCAAACATGGAAAGGCCTGACAAGAAATTAGCCAAACCTGTAATGTAAGGGGAGCTGATAACAGACACGGTGAAGCTGAGCTGCACACCTGCATTAACCAAAAACTCAGGTTTCCCTTTGATTCTGTCAATAATTAAGGTCCTTTTTTAAATCCCTAAAACATTTTTTTCCCTTTTTCACCCTACAAAAATTCCTATTGAATCAAAAGGTCTGGGAGTTATCCCTTAGTGTGGTGTACCAAATTTAAGTACAGATCTGCAAGGAAAAACACTATGAGAAAGGAAAGAAGATATTGTTTCTCTTTAAAACAATGAAAAATCTAGCTAAAGATTTATTGACTTCACTTTTGGTTTAAGCTCTCTAAATATCTTACTAATTAGTATGCAGCATCACTCATAGAGAAATCAGAAAATGAGAAAATCAAAGGCAGCAGAAAACCAGGATTTGCATTTATCACACTACTTGTTGCACTTTTTCCAACTTTCTGTGTCCTGCACTTTACAAAGTGGACTCACTCATAAGATCTCATTCTTTGTGGAGAAACCTGAGCTAGTTGGTGCCACACTGCGCCCTCAAGTGCAAGAGTGCACTTCACCAGAACTGCATGCAAGCACCTAAATGTTATTTAGTTTATGGATAATGGATTAAATGTTTATGAACTTCCAAAATTTGCTTTTGAAACAGATGATTAAAATAGCTAACAGTTAATTTAATTATTTATGTTTTGTAAAGCAAAAAGGTATTTTTCTAAACTTGTCTAGGGAGTATATAATGTATTTCATTGGTTGATATAATAACTAACAACATTTTCTTCTGCAATTTGCATAATTTCTGTTACACTAGAGCAACAGAGCAATATGAGCCCATTTCTTCAGCTAATTAAGTCACATATAAGTATTCTCATGTGTGTAAGTTGAAAACTGCTTCAAGTAGCAAAAATGTCAGCACATTTCAAAAATACTGCATTCATATCTTACTATAATTCCCTTGACCCTATGACCCTCGGTCAAGTCAATTTACAGCACTTTTATAAAACCTTACAAATTGTACTTGATACAAAACTGCATTAAATGAGGGGAGGGGAGGGGAGGAGAGGAGAGGAGAGGAGAGGAGAGGAGAGGAGAGGAGAGGAGAGGAGAGGAGAGGAGAGGTCTCTGTTGGCACAGCCGCTGTCACAGAGCAGCTTCAGGGGTCGCTCCGATGAGCATCTCAGCTTGGTTCTTTTCCTGGAGCTCTCCGGTATTTTCTCAGGATGTGGGGTTTGCTGGGCGTTAGAGGCTGCTCTTGAAAAAAGCGGTGCCATAGTGTCACCTGCTGGGAAGTTCTGCCCCTGCCTCTTTTTACGAATGTTAAATAACTAAATGAAAATCAGTGTGTGTTTTTTACCTTCTTTCTCATACTCCACATTCTAGTTCACTACACTCCTATTGAAAGATATTTTTTCTAAAAACAAGGCAATAGTTCAGAGTAGAACAATAAATATCCTGGACTTTTCTTCAGACTGTCATTCAATATGTATCTGGTGGGTGTTTGGTCTTAACTGATTTAAACTTTACTGAGTGAGCTACTGTTCTTTTGATTCTATGCCAACATCTCAATGCAAGTTTCTCTTCCATATTTTACTGTCTTTTCCTTTATTTACTACAATGACACACATTTCCAGCTATAAATATTTCCATGTCCTCTTAGGGACACTAATGATTTTAGAAAGAAGTTTCAAACAGCTGATTCTGTCATTACCAATGTGTTGGTGCAAGGATGGCACTAGTTGGTGCAGTGGGGTCAGGGACCATAAAGTTGTGGCTTTGAAATTACAAAAATTATTTTATTCAATAGAAGTATGTTTGGAAGTTTGGTTTTCTTCAAACACCTCTTTGATTACAAGTGATAGGAAAATAACTAATTAGCTGCATTAGAGGTAGAACAACAGCTAAAACTTTTGTCTCTAATTACTTAATCACTGTTATAAGGGAAGAATTCATTCATGGACGTGGAAATGGTTGAGGGTTTGGGGGTTTTTTTAATTATCTTTCATTCTGCTAGCCAGACATTTGTATTAAATTTCCTGTACAATTTCCTGATTAAAATAGAAATTCTTCCAGGATTATATTTTCTACACTTTGAATTCATTATTTTTTAAGTATTTCAAAAGTGAGTTTTTATCCTGTCACATAAGAAGATAGAGAAGAGGGGGTCAGTAAAACCAAACAAGGCTATGCAAGATTGCATGAAAAAAAGAACAGAAATGTATTTATCTCAGCTTCATAATGGTATTTTTTTTTCTTTAGAAACACCTTATTTTTTAGGGTTAGGAAAAGAAAAAAGTAGTAAGTAGGTCACTTAGTCCCCTAGCTTTTCAATGAGTCCTAACTATTCTAAGTATTTTTGTGATTACACAGAACTGACATTTATGGCAGACCAAAACTAGCCACAAAAATGGGCTTTCAAAAGAAAATATTGTTCATCTTCACAAGAGTAGCAAGAGCTGGATCAGTGGTCTGCAAAAAGAAAAGAGTGGTGAAATACCATCATCTGCAGAAGACCAAAACAAGCCCGATCTCCAAGCTAAAAGTAATCAAAGTTATTCATGCATAGTGCCCCTCCCTGAAAAATCAGTGAACTGAAACCAAAGTTACATCACTTTTGGTTTTGAGTTTCTTCAATTTTTATTTAATGTGCTTAAAGCTGTATTCTGTATTAACTTCACTCTCCTTGGCTGCCACAAATGATTCCTTAGGAAATTGTACTTCGTAAACGAAACAAATCTCTTTAACTTAGGGCTCCCTTACAATGTCACAAGACTTCTTATTTGCTTTAAAATAAGAAGTGTGAGGACAGAGGGCATTTAAAGCAATCAGTGGCTGATTAAGTAATTTTGACCAAATAGTAGTAAGTGAAACAATTAAATCATGTGTAACAAAAGTTTGAGTACATTTATTATGCACAGTATAACTTTTCCTCATCAGACACTTGAAATAAAATTGTCAAATGTTTTTTTAATAGTAACATAAGAAAATATGATTGCAACTATGTGATAGCTTCACTTCATATTTTTACAAAATAGCTCATTGTAAGGCTGTAAAGAGGAGTCTGAGGCATCGTTATCTTAAGGGAGTAACATAATGAGGTAAAGAAGAGCCTTGAATAACTCTTATGTTCTCAGTCACAGAACTTTTATGCCCTATTCTTCAGATGCATTGGGGAGAAAAATATTTTAATGCTTAGAATTCTGCTTCTAGTCAAGACTACCTTCTCCACCCTGACTCTAATATTGGGTAGTTAATGGAAGGCAGAAAAATACTATCACGTCTCACTCCTGTCAAGAGGTTTATTCATATATTCAAGGGCAAGACAGAAACCTACAGAGCTGAGCTATTTCCTTATGAACAGCCCAATACTGCTGGAGACCACAAGATGGAGCAGAACTTAACTCTAGCAGGCTTTAGCAAAAGTGGCTTAAAGCCTATACTTAGCTCATCTGAATCATGGGTGAATAAGAGGCTGCTGATCGCTGAATTCTCAACAAAAATAAAAGAGCTTCCGTGTGCTTTGTGCAAGTTGTTAAATTTTCAGTATCTAAGAAGTCAAGACCCGATCATAAAGTAGCTTATATTAAGAAAAAATACATATATAGACCAGAGGATTTCTATTGCTGCAAGACTAAAGAAATTGACCTTCAAGTCTCCTATTCTAGCCTCCTTCTCCTATTTTTTTTCTTAAAAAAAAATCACCCAAAAGACTTCCCTCTATGTAGCATAAAAAGCTCATACACAGCATCTACTACCTCGTGACTAAACGAGTGACATATCTCAAGCACACGCAGCTGCTGCATGGAAAAAGTTAACAAGCCATACATCAGTAGGCTACGTCAATATTTGAGGCACACGGCAAGATCGAATTTTCATAGTGGAATAATTTCAGTTCCCCTTCATGATGTATTTTTCTACCAAACCCAGCCCATGCACATTAATGAAGCGGCTTTACTGTGTAGTTGTGTTTCCATGACAGTGACGAGGACAATGCCTTTCCACAGCAGCACACACCTGTCATACCAATCCTCCCCTTTAAATCACAACGACGTGATTCACAAGGCAGAGCAACGGGGACCTCGTTAAGCTGTCACTATCTAACTGTGTACATCTGAGCCGTCAAAACACATTAATTTTTTTATTGAAAATTATGTCTGGGGACACAGACAGCAGTAAAAACCTGTACTTTTTGTTACTAAGTTGTTCAAAGGTAAACTCGTCGTCTTCCACGCCATTTAACTCTGAACACCAAGGGAAGTGTTGTCCTGGCCAGGCATGCCTTACAGCCCTGCCTCTGCGTGCAGGTGCTTCTCGCTGCCTGCGGGACCTGCCCTGGTCCC